TTGACCACATTTACAAATTGTTTCTCTGTACACACACAACACACCAGGTGGAGTACCACTGGGTCCAAATAATGGCCTATCTGGTTTGCATAGCTCAGTCTGATTTTGGGTTATACAATAATAGATCTGGGCTGGGATCACAGAAACATCTGCTCCAGTATCTATTTCAAATCTGATCTAGTGGTTTCTGATAGTAAAATCTGTGTAGCAAGGATATGAATCTAGATCTACAGAACCAAGGACCAACCGTGTGCCATAACACTGCTCCATTTCTATCACATGCACAGATTTTACAGATCTGCACACCTTACTGTAAATACCTTTTTCCCCAAAAGTATGGAAGCTCACATCTTTTTCTTAACATTGTCCTACCCGGACACATGTTTTTTTCCACAACTGTCATACGTTCTCTCATTTAGTGCATTGTGTACTTTGGTTGACTGGCATGCTTGGACAGTGAATCACTTTTTCCTTGTGCTTGACTGTCACAGCATCTCCTTCCATCTTATGCATATCTTCTTCCCCTCTGATGTTCTTTTCTTGTATTAACTACATTAACTGTAGTTAAGAATCGTCAGCTGATCATAAACTCTGCAATTAAGAGTTTTGATGAAAATTAAAAGGATAGATTATAATTTGCCAATGTTCATTTCCCTTTGTAGGCTCCCTCTTAAATCTGAAACAAAATAAAAATTTTCATTCCTCCTGCGGTAAAATAACTAGGATGATCTTATATCAGAGATCTGATTGATCTACAATTAATTGCATTTGCAATATAACTGCATTTTAGCAAAACACAATTTCCAAATCAAAGAGCCAATGTGATAATTTATCAAGATTAAGACACTAAATTTTGCACTGCAGCTCTTTAGGTGGCAGTGATATGCTTAAAGTGGGTTTTTTGCCACACAGAAGGGCAGAGAAACTTGCAGCATGCATGCAGAGCAATGGATGCAGGTAAAAGTAAGGGCTTTTTCACGCAAAGGTTACAATAAAGTCCTGCAACAATAGAGTCTGGACAAGGAAGCTTTTTAAAGTCATGAAAGATCTGAAAACCTGTATTGAACAATCTACATGCTTTTGGTTAGTGCGAATGAGAATAGAAATAAAATTGCAATATTGGATGAAAATAATTGCAAATTAAATTTTTGGCAAATCGTTCAGCCCTAAATTATATTCTTATAAAATCTCCTGTGTTAAATATGTAATTTTACTTACTTTATTCTTTCACTCATTAAATGTTTTTAAAACAATTCAACAAGTGTGTTTTGTTCAAATATGGTTTAGGGCAAACTTAACAAATATGCACATTTACAGCTTCTTTAGACATGGCTGACTCAGTCGACACCCATATTCTTGCTCAAACCCATCACTTCTGGTATATGAAACCTTTTCAAAGAGGTGCGGCGTGTTTTTGTAGCACCCTTGCTTAAGGAAATAATATCTGTACGTTTGGGTGCTTAGATAATTTCCAGTCCATGGCTATGTAAACAAATGACTAATAAAGACTCATGGTGCATTTTGATGTTACACTGGGTAAATGTCCTGATCACTTTTGTTTGACTAGATTCTCTTTCATGTGGTAAAAGATACGTGTGGATAAGTTTTTGTACAATGATGGCGACCTGCTGTTCAAATTGGACATTTTTACTCATAAAAAAATGTTACTTTTATTTGTTCAATGAAAAATAAATCAGTCATAGTAGCAGTTGCAACATTGGTCTTTACTGGACAAATATTATATTATTTATGATATGTATAATTTATACAGGTTTGCATTTTGACAATAAAATATTGAGCAATTATATGTATTTTTTTTCCAGATGTGTTTTTACTTTGATTCTAAATTTGTGTTTATCTCCCATCGACAGGTGACACATTTGCAAGCACAATATTTGGTTGAAGCGACATCTTATCTGCTAATGCTTGACCTGACCTCATTTTTTTTTTTTTTTGTACCGATGAAAAAGGTTTGCACACAAAAAACGTACGTGTTACTGCAAAGAGCTGTGCACCAGAAAAATGTCCTTTGATTAAGAAAGATAACGGAGGTGATTACGCAAATAAACATCAAAGCGGCTTCTTTTCACATTTCTACCTCATTTTCAGTTGTTAAAACAGATATTAGCTGTATGCTAAAAGCAACAGAAAGAACAAACCACAAAAAAACACACAATTTGACACAAGAAAGTGAAATCAAACTTCTTAACAAACCAGACTAGCCAAAGTTGACTCAGAAACCAGTAAGAACAGAACAAGATTACTCAGCTTCACATTGCAATAAAAACTCAAACCCATAAACATGACGCCCACTGAGGACTAATTATCACCTAAAGACAGTTTGAATTATCAAACCGGTTTCAGTATAAATAATTCTGAACAAGTTGAGATGTTAAAAGCTTCCTCCTTTTAATAAATTCAGTGACATTTGAAAATGTCAGCGATAAGGGTCACTGTTTGTCTCAGAAGTCATCCACAGTGCTTCTGTCTTAATGCCTTATATAGTCTGATTATTAATATAAGAATTAGTCAAACCTCTCAGAAAGTTTCCCTGCAGACACCTAATATTTGAATATGGATATTATTGATACAACATGGGATCAAGAGAAGAAATAATTGGTGAAGTAAGTATTTTTTTTTTTTTGCAAAAAAAGATTGTTGCAAAAAAAAAAAGAACATTTATCTTAATGCACAGTGTGGATAAGAAATGTTTTGTTTAGTTTAATGTTGCTGAATAAGGGTAAGATAATCGGTACTGTTCAAATGAAATCATCTGTAGGTATTCCTTTGGCTTCTCTATCATGGCCGCTGACTCAGTCTGGTTGAATGTGAGTTGTTCCTTTCCACTGTCTCCAAATGCTCCAACTGACCCTAGCCATACACTGAAAACCGATATGCTGTTATAACAACAGAACTATAGATTTTGGACAAATACATTTATAATTATATGGAAATGTAGCTAAGTTTAAATGTTTTTTTATGTGCATATTGAAGGGGTGGATTTGCAAGCAATAAACCAGAGTAGATAACCTCACAAACCCAATATTGACATATGACTTGGCGATATGGCTTAAAAATCTAATCTCTTATCATTTTCTACCAAATCCATGTAATCAGTTTATTTCCTCACCTAAGTTTCATTATAAAAATGACGTATATTTATAATACACTTTCAAAAACTAGCAGTGATTTCAATCATCCGCTCTTGAAGGTGAGTTTTATCTAAGGGCAAAAAAAAAAAATCAAGCTGTAATATTTCACATTTGTAAAATGATCATATCTCATAAGAAACAATGAAAAAACAATGAATTGATGTTTGCAGCTAGTGGTATCACACAGTGTTATGAGAGCACATCTAAAAAGAAAAGGTGATAAACCGATGTGAGTCTGGGTTAAGAAAGTCCAAGTAGTTGATTGGTGAAATAAATCCACATTTTCCAAAAATCCAATCTTTATTTACAAAGAATGTATATATTTTATAATATCGATCGTCCAGCCCTATTGCATGCTTCTTGAAGATCAATGAAACATGCATTTTATTAGTTGTTTATGAGCATATTTACTCTAAATAGGACAATTCAGCTTTGTTAAATAAATAAAAAATATAAACTGGAAGTCATGTTTAAATTAGACTGATGTGACAATGGAGTGTTTTATGAAATTAGGCTAAATCTAGGCTGAAAATGCTGGACATACTAAGGTATGTATCATTAATTTTTAGGAAGACAGTTCAATTAAATTTTTGCTGGACACACTGGGAACCATTATACTGAAAAAAGTACTAAATTCCTGTAAGAAAAGCCAGAATCTTAGCATTAATTTCTCATCCCTAATAAGGGCTGGACGGCGGTTTGGGTTTTTAGATGCTACGGAATGAGTTGATTACTAGGTAAAACAGTTTCTGTCATGAAATGAGTTGTATTTGTCATTGGCTCTAGAGTTTACGGGAAACCAGATGTGCTAAAGGAAGAATCAAAGCAAAGGTGATCAGAACTGAGATTTCCGTTGAGCCGGATTAAACTTTCGCCTTTGCTCTGATTGTAACTTAACCTCATCTATTTTTCTTAATATTTATTTTTGTTTTTTACTATAACAGTTTTAAACACCATATCAAATATTTCCTCTGCATTTTCTAGGAAATGTTTCATGAGTTACTATAAGATTTAGTTGTTTTTTCCCCCATTTTGGGTATTAGATAGAGGTTGATGCAAATTCACAACTTGGATTTCATTTACATAATAATAGCGTGGACTAGAGTGAATATGTAACATGATCTCACAGTTGAATGTATTGTCTCACCTATCCTTAAACATGCTAGACTGACACTTGAAACACATTAGAGTAGTAAGCTTGACTGACTCTATGCATCTGCTGCATATTTTTGGCAGCATGCAGGAAACGACAGCCGCCCTGCATCTTTTTCTAGAAATCCCAGAGTTCAATGCTTTTAACTGTTGTAGAAAGTTGCATTTCCACACTGCATTTTTTTTACTTTAAACCAGCAGGTTTCTTATCAAGATACACACACTGGTTGCAAAATGGGAAATTCACATCTACTGGTTTCAGCATTACAAATTTCACATGGAATCTGCACTCGATTCTTTGAAAGCAGAGCAGCCATGATGAGCTCCAGAAATCAACAAACAGAAAGTAATTTGGGTTCTCATGTTGAATCACAGTCAGCCTTTCATTAAATGCACACAAAGAGGTTTCTAGGATACTTTCTGCAACCATTAAAAAGCATGTGAGCAGAAGCTACATGTGAGAAGCTTCCTGCATAGGACCCTTATTCTGCTTAAAGGCAAAAGCTTTTTACATTGAACTGCTCTATTTTTAGAAAGAAGAAGTTCGAAAAAACGTTTAGTTATTTCTGAGAGCTACTGTATTTTCTCAGTGTGTGAGCTGTCCTTGCTTTGGCACAATTGGTCCCCTCCCCTCGCCCCTGTGCGTAAAACTCCCCAAAATATTTCCTCCTTGCTCAGTCTTAACAAAGCAGCAGACCTGTGCACCACGCTTGTGAATGGCAGCGGGCCGTGGGTGGAAGATTTCCCCAAACCCACTGTCGTGGTTTCAGTGTCTCAGGGAACATGTCGGGTTGTGGATTGCAGAACTTTTGCTCTCGTTCAAAATATTGTCTGTTTGGAAACTCTTTGCATGTTCTCATCTTTGGTAAGACATCTGCGCATTTGATCATCTCTCTTGTTTTAACCTTATAGGCTTCAACACGTCTGCAGACATATAGAACATCATTTGTGCTGTTTGTTTCCCATATTTTGTGCCTTTTTTGGAAAATGTTGCATGCATTACCACATTGTCATAATGTTCTCATTCATATTTAAGGTCTGATGGTTATTCCCATGACCTCACACATCAGAGTTGCTTCAGGTAAGGCTGAGATTTTTATTGCAAAAACTATCTAGAAATAATCAAAAATGGCTAAAATTATGTGTATTTACCCTTAATTTGAGTAGGTAAATACGATAATTTGCCAATGGAATGAATATTTTTACTCTTGAAATAATATAATTAGATAATATGCACTTGAAATAAGACAAGGCAATTGTTTTTTCTTATTTTAAATGCAATTTGTCCTGCTCCATTGGCAAAGTATCTCACCTCCTCAATTCAAGAAAAAATGCACTTATTGCAAGAAAAAATGACTTATTTAAATGTCAATTTTTTGCAGTGTACCTTAATGCAGCATAGCTAAATGTTATTAAGTGGTGGTACTGGGAGTCTGATGAAGGTTTCAGGTCTATTAGCTATGATGCAAACATGCAGAAATCCAAGTTTTTTTTTTTTTTTTATCTGAAGAAACAGAATTTCCTGACTTTTAAAAAGCTGTTTTAGCAGATATCTTGGAGTCTAGTACCAATGATATATTTATTAAACAATATTATGTTCCAGCAAATTGCGAATGGAACGAAATTGCAGCCAAGTACGAAAACTGTACGATTCGCCCGGGTAAGTTCAGCTCAGTGTAAGACATCTCGATTTAAATCCTCTGCCCCGTGTTATCAGATCAGAGATAAGAATATCAAGTGTTTCTGCTTTTACAGATGGAGTCCATAATTTAGACTGCTTTAAGAAGAACAGGCCGTCTAGCAAGTGCACGTGGGAACCTGGAGAATCTGGATTGAATAAATCCTACACACTCATCTTAAAACAACCAAGAACACTCAAACCCATCTGCCAGGTTTACTACAACATCAAACAATTTTACAAAGAGTTCTTCCCGTCTTCCAAATGGGATGTGATAGTAGAGGTTTTAGAAAACACAGAGACGACAAATTGCTCAAAGGCAGCTTTCAGAGGTTCACCACAGAACATGAGTAAGTATAAAAATAATTAATTTCATTTTTTTTTTTTTTTTGATTTTTAAAAAATGGCATGCTGAATATTATTCATACCATACCAGAGCTGAATAGATTTGTTGTTTCTTTTTTCAATATTAACAGCCAAACCATTTATTTTTTATTGATGAGACTTTTTTGCAGGTTTCCACTGGTTATCTAGGTAATGAGCTTTAAATTCTCTAAACATGAACCGCCTCATTGTCATCACCATAAGCCCTGGCTTCCTCCACAGATTCAATTCAATTTAGAATATTTTATTAATCCCAGAGGGAATTTGATTGTGGTCATGTATCTTCAGTAGTTTATAGCTGTAGGCAGCTCTTCTACAGCAGTCGGTCTTGCAGCAGATCAGAGAAGCCTTTGATTAAAGAAAATGTGCTGTTCTAAAACAGTCCCCTGAAGATGACTTCATGCATAATGTTCTTCCTTTTATTCCATTCTCTGTAATGTTTAAAATAACTCCTAAATATTATAAACCATGAGTTTTTAATCAATTAAAAGTTTCCTATAGTCAAGCATATCATGAAATAATGCCTTTAAAACTTTGAGGGTTCATGAGGTCGTCATTTCTCAGGCCTGAACTAAGTCTGACTATGACATTAGCGAAATAAGAGAAGTTGCTGCCCTTTGCAGATGAGCTGCTGAGAGAGTCGTTTCATCTTAACTTTGAGCCACATTCATCACCCTCTGCCTCATGTCACTCCTCCACCATCAGAGAAAGTCAGTGTTTGTTTGCAGGCAGGTTAAAGGTAGCTGCTTTCTGAAGGGGCTATTCTAAGATAGATATTCTCCAACCCCTCGCTTCCACAGGTCGGGGAGGATTTTGCTTGATATATGACCTTTAATAATTCTTCTGGTCAGAAAAAAACATGTTGGTCAAACTAAAAATGTACATTTCTAGTCTAAATCTACCAGAGAAATGAATAAATTGAACTCATTCTTAAGTACAACTTCCAGACGCTTCGGGGGCCCTCTTCATACGTTTGAACATTTACACAGAAAGAAGCTCTCAGTGAAACAAGTCCAGCATCGATATGGCGTGGGAGGACACTCTGTTATGCAGCAGCCAGGTTTCAGTTTATAATGAAACTAAAATGTTAGCATGTAATCAGCACAGTGTTAAAGAAAAAAGGGGGAAGCTAGCAAAGCTGAAAACATCATGCAAGCAGTAAAACCTAACAGCCACATCATCAAAACGTCACGTTAGAAAGTTAAAGCTACAGCAGGACTTCGGCATGCAAAGCACTTTATTTGTGCAATGAGTAAGAATAAAGGCTCACCTTTAAAGAATGAGCAAGATTAAAATTCTACAATGTAAAAATTTCAAATCTAAATAAGTAATTTTCTCTTAAAATAAGTGCATTTTCTTTTGAATTGAGGAGGTAAGTGAGACACTTTGCCATTGGAACAAGACAATTTACACTTAACATAAGAAAAGATAATTGCATTGTCTTATTTCTAGTGCATATTATCTAATTATCTTTTTTTAAGAGTAAAAATACTCATTTCATTGGCAAATCGTCTTATTTACATACTCAAATTAGGAGGAAATACACTTAATTTAACACATTTTTACTTATTTCCAGATCGTTTTTGCAGTGTAGATCAGGAAAATGAATGTAAACTACTTCTGTTCTTCTTTAATTGTTTTTTTTTTTAGTGGGGTTAATGGACGTAGATTATTATATGAGTAATGAACAAATTATGGAATATTCCTGCTTAGACAACTTTTATTGTCATTTTGTATACACAGAGTGTATACAAAACAGTTAACAGCAGCAAAGATCTATTTTTATTTATTTTGTTTTGTCAGGGACAAAACAAAATATTGTCTCATTACTCTAACTAATGATATTAATACATCCCGATCTAAAACTGCAGCAGCTTATTCTAGGGCTGCAACAAACGATTATTTTGCAAATTGATTAATATGTTGATTATTTAAAAAAAACAATTTGATTAAAAATTGGATAGCAAAAAGTTCTTTAAAGATTTTTTGTGCCAGGTGAATAAAAAAAAAAGAGCTT